GCATGCCTGGATGTTCCTGTAAACAGCCTCTTCAAGACCCGAATAGTGCTGATTGAGAAGAACAAACAAAAGTAATTTCACATTTTGAAAATATAAATCATGTGGGGTTTGTTAGTGGTTTTAAAATACAAAATTGAGTGTCACGCATCCTGATTTCCATAAAACATAAATACAAAATTAAACACTAGGCAGTGAGATATCAGCCATTCAAGTTGATATTTTTATAATGTATAGCATTATAAAAAATAGGGGCCAATTTTGCACTCATTGTGCAGTAGGTTTATGATTTCCAAAACAAAGAATAATTTGCAGACCCTTACTATATCATTCAAAGACAAGAAAAGGGATGGATCAGAAAGAATAGTATTTTTGATTATGATTTGAATATATTAATGCTCATCAAAACTACATTAGTCAGAACTAACGTTATAGGAGTGAAAATCAAAAATAAAATCAAAATAATTTCAAACGAAACATATTTCAAATCTAAATCTTTACAAAAGTAAATTCATTGCAAACGCTGATTTTTGATGTGATTGTGTTAAATGCAATAACTAAGTTAAATGATCTGATCAGCATATCAACAAACGAATACGTGGAGGGATTATAAACCGCCATCACTTCATAAAACGACATTTTTATAGAAGCGAAATAAAAATGTACATTTAAAATAAATAGTGTTGTAATTCTGAAGTTTAACAAACGCAATTCTTTTCTAATACTGTATGATTGCAAGACATTTGAATGAGTGATGGAAGTGCGAGGAGTATCTGTCAATGGCACATGTTTTCAGCTAACATGCTAACTTCATACATCATTTACTTTCTAACGGAACCCATTCACTAACTAACCTTCGTTAATTCATGAAGACCGAATGTTATTGACGACCTTGCACAAAAAGTTAATATTCAGTTGAAGTCTCAAGTGTCTGGTAGTTTTACCGGTAAGTTAGTTGGACGGCATGAGGCCCATGTTCTAGAAACATCTTTGGGAAGTCACTGCGTGTGCTTTGAAAAACAACACAATACGAGCAAAACACGGTTTCAGCAGCCCTACCTTTGCACCATCCTTTAACATCTGGGCAAAGCCCGGGGCTTTGGGGACGTGAAGAGCCATTTTGACCAGAAAAGGTGGATATTAGACTGATGCAGGGTGAGGCTGCAGCGCACTGGATAGAAGCATGCAGCTAAGAAAGAACAGGCGCAGCAGCAGAGAGCAGAAACACGGATTACCGACCCAGAGAGGCGAGATAGTGGAGCGCCGATTAAGTGCACACCACTCTATTCTATTCTATTCTATTCTATTCTATTCTATTCTATTCTATTCTATTCTATTCTATTCTATTCTATTATATTATATTATATTATATTATATTATATTATATTATATACTGTAGATCAGTGGTGTCCAAAGATTTCTGAACAAAGCAAGCTAAATAGCCTATTCTACTGTATTTGATGCTTTTAACATAAACACATTTTAAAATATTTTCAAAACATAATTTCTAAAATTAATAAAATATTTAAATTATTTAAAGTGATATATGTGAGTCATTCTAGAATTTGTGCATTTCGAGTCTCCCAGATAATCCTTCTTTTATTTAAAAAAAAAAAAAAACTTTTTTTTTTAATCAGTTTTGAATAATAACACAATTTAACTTTCTCTAAAAATAATGCTTTATGTATATTTAGGGTAAAAAAAATTATTGGAAATATTAACTAAATGACTCCCACTCCACCTATTATTGACTGCATCTGCCTCCTGATTCATATGCATTCAACTTGAATTATCATGAAACAATTAAGTCTAATTGTCAATTTTTTGTGTTTACTACTGTATTAAGTTATATAAACAATTACAAACAATACAGGACAAATATATATTCTATGCAATTTAACTAAAAATGTGGTCTCTGATTTGAGGTTAGCATTTTGAGCTAAAGCACAAAATGGTGGAAAATGTCAACTCTGTTATCACCCAATTTGTCAATAATAGAGTTGACAGATTTTTCTGTCGTAATATTTTAAATCTTACAAGTTTAAGATCAGCAAATATTGAAAATGTTGAATTTGAACAGCATTCTATGAAAATATTAAAGTCCTACTTTTTGTTTTCGTTCTCTACTTGAAATGTACCTCCAAATCTGGAATGAGTCATATACATATACATTTAAGAATAAGAATTTTCTAATTTCCTAAGACTTATTTACATATTTATTTTAAATGTTTTATTTTTGATTACATTAATTCTTTTTTTTTTTTACTTATTTAGATAAATATCCTTATATTTTCTCTGTGTGACTGTTGTTTTATACAATTTAATGTACACAACTGAATGGTTGCACAGATTTAAAAAAACTAATCAAAAAGCAAAAAACATAACCTATCAGTGCTCAAAAACACACACAAAAAACACAAATCACAGACACTAACCATTTTCAAAGGACTCAAATACACTGAAAATCAAACGTTTGCATTGTTCTTGTCAGTGTGTGGGTCACTCAAAGCTGATTGGAGAGGTGGACATTGTTCTAGTGTAAAGTCATACCATCTGAGCCATTTAATTGGTGTCCGTCTAGCGCACACACACACAGAATCACAGTGCCACTCTGAAAACAGGAGGCTTCCTGCTGAAGATCTGTCTTTACTTTGGCTGTGTATTGTGAACCTGCTTCTCAGTTTTATTATGACTGATTTAATGTGACTTTTTACAGTATAAACAGTCAAGAAGATCTATAGGCTTCTCAATGGAGTGTCTTCAGCTCTGCGTCTTTTGCTGAGTGACTTTTTTACTTGACAGTTTTCTGTAAATACGTTTCTGTTGTCAGGTAAGGGGATTTATTGTCTCATTTTATTATATGAAACAAAGTAAACTTCTTGAGAATCTTTTTTAGATTGATTATCGTATTTTATTATCGTTATTTATTAAGTTAAGCTTGTAGCCTCTTTCTTTCGTGACATTTACATTGGACTTGAGTCTTCCTTAATGTTCAGCCACAAAATATTAGCACATTAAATATAGAAAATATGCTTAAATAGAGTATAAACATACACAAATATGATTTCATAAGAAACACTGCAACCAATTCAGAAGAATGATCTCATTTGCTGGCTGGAAGAGGATTTCTCTTCAATTGTTTAATCCCTGATGCATGGGTACATGATGAAACCTTTTCATGTCACCCTGAAAGGCTGCTGATCTTATACTTCTGAGATTAATCATAAGGCTTACATCCAACCTTGTTTAATCCAAATCTGTCTTTTTTTCTAGGAATAAATGATCACCTCAACTCGACGAGTCTCTGCAGATAAACCTGAAGTACGAATCGCTTTCAGCCTCAACGAAACCTCAGGCAAGGCATCTAATAAGAATATGAAAATGATTGTTTAAGATCATGTGTTTGACACTGTGAATGGGAGACTAAAATAGGGTTGTGTCCCCTCGCTCTCAGTCTGTGCAATGTGTGACTTCTACCAAAATGGCAACAAGTAAAACCCACCTAAAGCCTCTTATTTGGGATCAATTCAACTTTTGCCATCCTTTACAAAGAAACAGGTGGCCCTCTATTTTAGTTGATCTCTGGCATCTTAAAAACAAAATATCTACCTAGCCACAAAGTCAACAGTGCTGTCAAAGTGTTTTACAGCTATTCAGGCAAATGCTTTGCTGGCAGCTGCTGCCTGGGCATTGCAGCATCAGGTTTCTGTTTTAATACCTCACTGCTGCATGATTCACTCATTTGCTTTTAGAACACCGGCCTAAATTTAAAAGCATTTAATGCTTCACGCTTCGCCGCTGCGTCTTTTTCTTTCTTTCCCAAAAGTGCAACACAAATAGAACACATAAACACACTATATTTATCTGTCTTTCCCATAATTCCCGACAAACATGTTTTGACAGTAGACCAAAGCATAGTAGACCATAGTAGACCAACCTTGTGTGTAATTAACAGCAGTCGTTAATGAAACCATCAAACGAAAACGATTTTTTTTTGTTTCACTGAAATAAATAAATGAAAATGGAGAGAGAAAGAGTCTTGTATACTAAATAACTATATCATTAAATTGAGCACTAAGTTGCTGCCAGCAAGTTTCAATCCCTTAGAAGCCTATGGAGGAGTGATCCAGCTATCAGATTTAATCAAAATATCTTAATTTGTGTTCCGAAGATGAACGAATGTCTTACGGGGTTGGAACAACATGAGGGAGAGTAATTACTGACAGAATACATTTTTGGGTGCACTATCCCTTTAATGATGAACACATTAATATACATGAGTGCCCTGAATCTATTAGTTCAAGTCTAGGGTAAAGTAGATTATGAGAAAATTCAAAATAATATTCTATGTCAGAACACTAGGCTAGTTAGCAGGCACATTAAGCCAGATCAAACCAAAACAATGGATTAACGTTAGCCATGCTAGGCTAGAATAGGCTCTCATAACATTATTATGTCTAACTGTCAACACTCTTGTGAGGAAATGCATTAAAAAAAAAAACACTGACTCATCTTCAACTTCTTCGATTCATCAGTTTGTTTAATAATATTCATCAAAATCTTTTCTGCCTCAGACAGTTCCATGTCTGCAGTCGTGTCAGCCATTTTGAATGCTGTTTAAGGGCACCAAATACACTTATGCCCCTCTGGCTCTGAACAAAAATGTGGATCCTACATGTATTTTTCAAAGCCCGAAGGGCGCGTAAGTAGACTTACACCCTTCTGGCTCCAAATATTACTCACATTTTTGTGTTTGGTCTTTATTGTTTTGTTGCTTCATTCAATACAATTTGATTTGAAACGACTTTTGGCACCATATAGAGCCCATCAAGACCTTTATTTTGATATCAAGAATTCATATTCGCCCCCAAAATGTCACTTACGTCTCTTTTGTCTCTTTATATATAAATAAATTACATTGAAATTAAAAACTAAATCAAAAACTCAAAACAATATGCATTCAATCAGCCAAAATGACATAAAACTGTCATGTTATCCCCACCTGGCCACATTCTGCAGTGCATGTGCATATCATGTTTCAGATAATACCGTTGCAAATTTTAATGTATATATATCTCTTTTAATTGGCCGTTTGGCTGATGCATGACTGTAAACAGGCCTGTTTTTAGCTGGCTGCATCGAAGGATTCTCGCTTGGACATACTGTAGCTCATAGCTGGCATGGCGGGAATCAGTACAGACAAGCTGTCTGTCAGAGTGCTCGTTGCAGACGACAAGTCATTGCGAAGAACATGGGAGATAGTTACTTTCAATCTGTCCGTTTAGGATTTAGACTCCATGGTCGAACAGGTGGTGTTCGAATTTGGATTTTCGCACTGATCCGGAACCAGTTTCCAGCCGAATAACCATGTGAATGTTTACTCTAAGGAAACTGGACCTAGATCAGTGTAAACAACTAGTGGGCATGCTGTGGTGTCATGTTAACTGTGGTATGATTCAGCTGATTATAGGATATAGATGTCACCATTAAGGCCTTGGAGTAAATATCTCAAACATTAGCATTCTCATACCAGACATGTTCATCTGGCTTTCTTTTCCTCTCAGAGTTGAAAGATGCAGAGGACCCCCTTCCATCATTCTCTGACCTTGAGCAACGCCTGCAGGTAAAGTTATTTATAATCTATTTTGCTGTATGATTGGAATACAATTACAGAGTCTGCTGCACAGCTAAAATAAGCTTTTGATGGCTGCTATATCTCACAACTAAAGGTGCACAACTACTTTACATGATAATTATGGTTTGGGGCCATGGTGTGAAAAAAACAACAACGCGTTCTCATCCTAGGGCGTCATACTGTATAGTGACGGTTTTGAAATTTCGTCTAAATCCAACGCACATGGCAATTATTAGCGCCAATAACACGCATAGAGCTTTGTTCGGTTATGGGTAGGTTTAGTTCTGGAGTTGGTTTAGTGTTACACCACTAGGAGGCGCCTTCTGGCCCATATATGATGCCAAACGGTGAATGTAGACGAAATTTCAAAAGCGTCAGTATATGACACCTTGGGATGAGAACGGGATAGCGTGTGTGTGAGTACAGTAACTAAGTGGTGGGTATGTTCCCGCATGTAAGATTCATGAGGAGGAAAGAAGCTAAATCCGACAGGAATACTGTCAAATCCACCCAGACAACATTATAAACAACATGGAAATTATATAGCCTTCTGCTGTCTTAAAGGGATAGTTCAGCCAAAAATAAAATTCTGTCATCATTTACTTGCCCTCATGTTGTTTCAAACCGGTATGAATTTCTATCCTCTGATGAACACTTAAGTTATTTTGAAGAATGTCGGTAACCAAACAGTTGTAGGAAACCATTGACTTCCACGGTATATTTTTGCCTACTATGGAAGTCAATGGGGACCACAAACTGTTTAGTTACCCATATATATTTCTCAAAATATTTTGTGTTCAACAGAGGCAAGAAATTCATACAGGTTTGGAACATGACAGATGACAGAATTGATATTTTTTGTGTGAACTGTTTATTCGGTTGGATAAACAGTTTCATGGATCAAAGAGGGAATAGTTTAGCAATGCTTCTGTAAGACCACAAGATGGCATCGGTTACTTTTAAAGTTCTCACTACAGTCAACAGGAAATCAATTAAACTTATTTACATTCTTAAAGGTAAGCATGTCATTTTTAATAGTAAAAATAATAATAATAATTTCAATAATTAATTATTAATAAATAAAATAATTGTACCACTAAAGGCCCATGTGACACATTGTTTTTAATATACCACTTTTGGTCTTATTTTGGACAATCTGTGTATGAAAAACAAATGATTGTTTCCATGATGTGATCATTTGCTTTTCTGTCCTGGGCTACAATTTTTTTTTCCATTATATATATATATTACGGAATAATTGGTTGACAATGCTGTTTCATGCTGACATGAAGGGTTGGGTTTGACATTTTCTCATAACTAGTACATTATTCATACAAATATGTCACTGTCTCCAAAATTAAATACTCACAGACAGGTTTTTTCTTTTCTTTCTTTGAGAGCTTACATTATGATGCATGAACTGCACCATGTTGTGTGTAGATCATAAATCTGTAAGCGCTATCTATCAATCATTTGTTTATAAATCTATAAATATTTTTTTTCATTGTGTTTTCATTCAAATTTGGTTTGTCATATTGTTATGATGATAAAGGTTATGATATGATTAGCCTACGGATTATCACTGTTATGCTCAATGTGACAAGGACTTAAGGAAGATTCCCCACCTGAAACCTGAAATGTCCTATCTGGAAAAATACCACTAGGTTAATATATATGCAAACACAGATACACCCACACACACTTAAGGGGAAAAACTGGGAGAAGTTGAAGTGCTTTGTCGTGCGGATAATATTCTGTAGGACTGTGCCGTGAGTCATTGCGAAAGAAGAAGTTCCTGACACAAAAGGAATTTAAAAAAGTCAAGCGTCTCACTAATGTTTCCACATATTGTGTTTCATCTGTTGATTGAAACCTTCTTGTCAGGCTGTATGACGATTTTGTGTATATTCCAGGATGTAGCAGACAATCCAAATATAACATTTTAAAAAAAACTAAGTTCCTCAATTTATCCCCAGTCACTCTTGTAGCAAAAGTATACTTTATTTGTCAATTCTCTTTTTAAAAAAGAGCAATTGTGGTTTTTACTGAAGTATTAGGGAATATAAAACACTTAAAGTTTTATTTACATGTAATAATGTAATAACGTTTCTACCTTTAACAGCCGGTGCTTCCGTGTCGGTCTCTAAAGGAGTCCATAGAAGTGTACAAAGACCACTGCAAGATGGCCAATGAGTTCAACCAGGTGAAACATGAAATCGCCTGGCTGGAAGACAGAAAGTAAGCTTTAAAAATAAGCTTCAATACATGTATTCAAAAAAAAAAAGCTTCAATATATGTATTCATGATGTTGCTGAGATTCAGAGCTGTTAACCACTCTATTAATGTGCTATTTTTTTCTATAATCAATCAATAAATATATTCTGATGTATAAACACACAAATCTTTGTAACTATGAACAGGCAGATCATTGATCAATGCTGCATTTGTTTGGAGTTTCCTGTGTAATCATGACAAGAGTTGACACACTGTATTGTGGTATACAGGGCTTTTTGTTTTTTTAACATTCACATAGCAAGACTTGATGGAAATGAGAGTGCACTGTAAAGCCTAACAAGTTGAATATACTCCATTATAAAATAGCAAAGAACACTTTTTTTCTTTTCTTTTTCAAATCACCTAGTAGTGTACATTTACTATGAATATCTAATCAGCCAATATATATATATGTATATATATGTTTGTGTGTGAATTTATTAAAAATATATAATAGCACATGAATCAATTTTCCACTTTTATAATTCAAAGTGACATGGAAAACCACAAATGGCTTTACGTCACAATCACCTGCTGGGTCAATATTTAGTTGAATGAAATAACTCGCATGATGTTTCTCTGTCTTTGTCATTTACTCCTATAAACAGTTTAAATGCAGAGATCATCAGGGGTGAAAAAGGTAAAAGAAAAACAATTTTTTTAAGCATGTAATATTATAAACATTTTTTAACTCTATTTTGAAAAATAAAACAGACTAAAAGAGGAGGAGGAACCGAAGCCTGCCACCTTTTTCATGGGAGTTTTTCATACAGAAATTCATACAGATTACAGTTAATCACAAATTTTTCGGCGGGCTGAGTGGACATTTAAGGGGGCTGAAGCCCTCAAAATGGGCCTAGTGATGCCTCTGGCAGCAACCCATCGCATTTAGCCATGTAGACATGGTCAAGGCAATCTTCTGAAGTTTAAACTGAGAATCATCAGAATAGGGAAGAAAGGTAATTTAAGTGACTTTGAACCTGACGTGGCCTTTGGCATTTCAGAAACTGCTGATCTATTGGGATTTTCACCCTCAACCATCTCTATGGGTTTACAGAGAATGGTTCGAAAAAGAGAACATATCCCGTGAGCGGCGGTTCTGTGGGAAAATACCTTGTTAATGCCAGAGAAGAATGGCCAGACTTGTTCAAACTGATAGAAAGGCATCAGTAACTCAAATAACCACTGGTTACAACCGAGGTCTGCAGTGCAGACACTAAAAATCATCTCACACTGGTTTCTTGAACATGACAATGAGTTCACTTTACTCGAATGACCTCCACATGCACCAGATCTCAGTCCTATAGAGCACCTTTAGGATGAGGTGGAACAGGAGCCAACAAATCTGCAGCAACTGCATGATGCTTTCAGGCGGAGACTATTTAGAGACATGCTATTTCCTCAATCCTTAATACAACTATATAGGGAAAACCCGTAACACCAAAGATGGCGGCCGAGTGGCATGACTTGCCTAAATGACTTTGTTTCAGGTCCATAATACCTTGTTGAATCTTTGCAATGAAGAATTAGGAGAGTTCTGAAGGCAAAAGGGGGTCCAACCCAATATTAGCCAGGTGTATCTAATCAAGTGGTAATTATATATAGTTTTCTTAAGGAGGAAAACACATTTTTCAGATACACTGAGTTCAGATAAAGTGCCAAACTCAGCTGTTCAGGAACATACTGTAAATCAATTCACTACATTTTCAGCTGATAGTGATACTCATAACCATTTGCCGATGTTCCCTAATGGTATATATACAGTTTGTGTCTGATTCATCCTTTTGTGATTATAGTCACTTTTAACCCCTTTATTTCACATGTTAAACATGCATATTAAAGTGTAAGTAAGAACACTACAACCCTGCTCGAATTGAAGGAGTAGTTCACTTTTTTTTTTTAAACTTTTGCTGATAATTTACTCACCCCCGTGTCATCCGAGATGTCCATGTCTTTCTTTCTTCAGTCGAAAAGAAATGAAGGTTTTTGATTTTCTCCATATAATGGACTTTAATGGGAACCAAATGGTTCAAGGTACAAATGACAGTTTCAGTGCAGCTTCAAATGGCTTCAAACAACACCAGATGATGAATAAGGGTCTTATCTAGCGAAACGATAAATAAAAATAAACAAAATAAATAAAAAAAGTTTAAGTTTTATAAGCACAAGTGCTTGCTCTGTTCTTTGATGAGCGTTTGTGACTCTTCTGTTCAAACTCGTTCATCAAAATGAACGAATCTTTTTTCGAGTCATGACTCAAAGGGTCCTAGATAAGACCCTTATTCATCGTCTGGTGTCGTTTAAAGCCCTTTGAAGCAGCACTGAAACTCTCATTTGGACCTTGAACCGTTTGGTTCCCAATAAAGTCCATGAAATGGAGAAAAATGCTGGAATGTTTTCATCAAAAACCTTCATTTCTTTTCGATTGAAGAAAAAAAGGCGTGGACATCTTGGATGACATGGGGGTGAGTAAATTATCAACAACAGTTTTTTGTTTTTTTGTTTTTTTTAAGTGAGCTACTCCTTTAACTTGATTGAAAGGGCAAAGCAGACTGGATCACTTGCTGACTCAGAGTCATTGTGAGCTAGAGAAACATTACAAAGCACAGACAAGTCATCTAGACGTCTGCAGTCTTGTCTATAATAAAAAATGTTTTGGTTATTTTAACCCAGCTACCAAAAGCTATGGTGCCAACAGGTTCACTTCCTATAAAATAGTTTCAGGCATGGAACACTGTAGTCATGTATGTGACACCCAAGCCACATAATGTGGCCGTGTTATTTCACCTTTCATATCATCATTGCAGTCATTAAAAAAAGTTATGTAATAAATGATCATCTATAACGTTGTATTATATACTGTATGTGTCATTCTCAGGAAAGAGCTCATGGCAGAGCTGCTAGAGGATGAAAAGGCTACGATGGAGTTTGTGCAACTGGAGGAGGAATACAGGATACTTACGGAAGAGAACCGGAACCTGATAACAGCCCACAGCGAGCGAGCGCAGCAGCTCGAGATGCTCCGAGTGGTCAGTCAAAAGAGGCAGGGCTCCTCGTGACCTTTGACACCAATCCGAAAGATCTTTCTCTTCTGGGTCTTTACTACAGCTTATAAACATCTCAGCGTTCCTTTCCGCTCTGAAGTGGAAAACTGATCTTGAATCAGTGTGATTAGACTGAGACACTCAATCAATGTATATATATATAGTATTTTAAGCTAATATGGGTCATTAAGAGCAGATGGTCTTGTGGCCCAAAGATGAGGTGAGGGACCACCTCAATTATATATTTCTGAATATATACTACTACTTTGTGTGATTTAAGGGCGTGTTTGTGGATGCACTCACCTATATTGTACAGTTGAAATTGTATCCGTGTTTTACCATGTAAACTGCTCTGCTGAAAAAGAGTAAATGTTACTCTTGAGTAAAAGTTTTTACAGTTTACTGTCTGTCAGTTGCAAAAAAAAAGAGGAACTGAGGATACATTTCTGTTTAGCTATTTGAATTCAATCAAGGTGATAAGACGCATGGCATGATAATAGACATTGTGTAGTCACTCAGCAATAGGGAACTTGAGTTTCGAAATGTGATCTGCTCATTTTAGAATTGTGAAACCCTTCAAAAATATCAATGGCTGACACATCCTACCCCATACAGCTGAAATATCAGCAGTGTATGTCCACAAACCAGTTTAGCAGCATGAAAAGTTTGCTTCCTCAATGGTATTTTAGTTAGTCTACTCTAGACCTTTGTACTGTCGGTTTCACTTTATTTGTCTGACCAATGATAGAAAATGGCATTTTGTTATTTTTCATACAGCAATTTTGAAAATCCGATGTCTAGTGTACTGCCATATATTCATTTAGACCGTATTTACACACCACATTACATGTTTAACTACGGTTGAACTAACCATAACATAAGCTGCTCCAGGAAATAGTTTAATAGACCCTATATGTATTTGAAATTCATGATTTTAAACACTAGCCTATTAATTCATTACTATTATTTTTACAAAAATGTCAGTTTTTTTTACATGTAGTACACACAAATGTGTTGTGCCAAGCAATATTGGTGAAAATAAAATATCAGATTTCATATGCGTAGGTCTGAATGATTGAATTGAATAATTAGTGTATTGCATTTAGCTATTTAAGCTAAGTTGCTGTTTTCTCTTTTTGAAAAAGATTGTTTGTTTGTAAAGTTTCCCAACTCGGGACTGAGGAGGTTAAATTATGTATGTATGTCGTCTGTGTGTGTGTGTGGCGTGGGTGGTGAAAACCAAGAGGTCTGCTGGTGGCGATTTTTTAAAGGAAGTGGTGACGTAAATGATTGACAGGACAGATGGCCAATGAAAGAGGGCTGTGTTTGAGAAGGCGGGACAAAAACAATTCTGGGCAGGAGTCACATGACACCAGAGTGAAACACAAGCGCCGCCTTGTTTTCATAGTTACAAGTGATCGCTTTAAGCAACCCAGATGTTGTGTCAAATTCAACTTTTACTCTCACTCTCCGGTGATGTGACAGGTGAGTTTACGAAAGCTAGTGGTTTTGTTTGTTTATGTATGTCGAAACTGAGATACTAAAAGTCATGGAAAATGGAGATAGTTAAACTTTATAATTAAACGTTTAAAATATCTAATTAAATTTTTTATAGTTATGAAATAACTTTCAGCTATTCTTCTGTTTCACGCCATATCGGGGAAAGTTTATCAATGATCAAGATCGTGGAAGCGATAATATTCAAATGTATTTCTTTTCGTCGGACGTAGGCTGTCTCAAAACATAAATGCGCTTCCTACATAGACAGCATATTTGGGCATCATATCCGCGCTCCCATGGTTCCATTCAAATATGTTAAGCACCTGAAATGCCTTATGCTGTCTATGTAGGCTGCTCACTCGGTTTTCTAGCACAGTCGTAATGTTTGGTATTTATTACATAAAATGCGCGTCTGTTGTTTTCACTCGACACATTTTTAGGAAAACGAGTTAAGATGATTTCGTTTAACAACATAAAATACTCAAGCTGAACTGTATGAAGCAACTGGTCCCTAAGTTTCCTAACTGAGTTTATTGGAAAGGGACAGACGGGGAAAATGCTTGCTCATCCTTTATCAGCAAAACCGAATGAGTCAGCAGAGCACTCGCACTCTTGCGCCACACACACACACACTCATGACTCGACTAGGTCAAAATTATTATCAGTAGTACGCCGTTGAGATAAAAGAGTTCCCGTGGGTAAGGACACGTACGTATGGAGTGTTTCAAAAAGCACTTCTTCTCGAGGCACATTTGTTGTTGACCGAGTGTGAGGCTTTTTTATTTTAAGAAGTATTACGCGAGCATGAGCGCTGTTGTTCTGAATATAAGGACAGCTGTGATATCAAGTTTCTCCTTCACGAACACAACAGACACAAACTGCAACAGAGTCGTTATAGTGCTACTCTGAATTCCAGAAGTAAACCCCATTCATTTTGTTTGTAGAATATAACCTTTAGTGACTTGTACTTATTGTGAGCTATGAGGTTGTTAACCAATGGCAATGGTCAAAGCCAACAGACTGCATTGCAAATGCGCCCACCCATTTCTATGGTCTCAAACTACTTAAATATTTGTTTATACTGTATGTATATTTTGCAATACCAATTCTAAATACACAGTTTAGAAGATCAATAGTTTTATATTTATCAATTTATTTTTAAATTTGATTGTCATGGGATTGTAGTTCTTTTACTCTGTAAAGTACATAGCCTTGCACTTTGTCCTTCTGTATGATTTTCAAATATTTTTTTTCTTTTCTTCAAATAAAGTTTTGTAATGTTGTGACTCAACTCATAGCTGGTTGTTTTTGGATCATGGCCCTTTACTAAAAATACTTCTGAAACCAAATTCAATAAAAAAGTGGATGGGCAACTGTTGCACACTATAACGTGTTTGAAAATCACTGGGGATTTTAAAATTCTGTTCACAACATGAAAATCTTCTCTATAGAGAAATATACCAAGAACCATATGTACTATATATATATATATATATATATATATGTACTGTATTTTGAAAAATCGTTATCCAATAATAGGAAATTGAAATCCATTGGTCAAACTGTGTGATGCCTGATTTAAATGAATGAGTTATCTCTGTCTATTTGTCATGTTGCGAATCATTTTAGTATACACTTGACAGTTTCCTTGAATTGAGCACATGTAAATCTATTCTTTATGTTTTTACCATACAGGTCAACATGTCGATGGAAAGCTCGGAGTTCACATTCCAGTCATCTGTGCACAGTTCCTACGTTCTGCAATGTCTGAATGAGCAGAGGAAGAAAGATCTTCTGTGTGATGTGACTATTGTAGCGGAGACCCAGAGCTTCCGGGCCCACCGGGCAGTTCTGGCATCCTGCAGTGATTACTTCAGCGCCCGTGTGTCCAGTCATACACATGAAGGGATTGTCATCAACCTTCCTGATGAGGTAACAACATAATTAAAGGTCTGAATTGTTCAAGGAGGAAGTGTGATTAGTGTTTATATGAGGTGTGATGCAAAGAAAAGGCAGATTTTCATGCAGTTTTTTTTTTTTTTTTTTTCCATCTTAAGGTAACCTCAGAGGGGTTTGAACCCTTGCTGGATTTTGCCTACACCTCAAAACTCCTCTTTACCAAAGAGAACGTGCTGGAAATTCGTAACTGTGCTTCAGTTCTTGGTTTCAAGAACTTGGACAAAGCCTGCTTTGATTTCCTTCTCCCCAAGTTCTTTGACAGCAGCAGAAGCACATCAAAAGTCCAGAAGAAGTGCTGTAAAACCAAATGCTGCAAATCTCGAGGGGCTGAATTGAGCTCGATTAACAAGGATGATGCTATTGATGAAGATAAATCATTACTTCAACCCTCAGAGCCTCCGCTTAAAGCCAAAGAGCCATCTTGCCATCAGTCGGTGGCCATTGAGGATGTCGCAAAAAGCTGTTACAGTGGGAAAGACACAGATTACTCCTTCCTGTGCCCGAAATACCGGAAGTTTCAAATCGCTTGCGGGAAGGAGCGATCCTGTCTGGATGTCTGCGACTCGACGCCCATGTCCCTTGACAAGACAGATGACGACTGTCCTTTAAACTACCTTCCTTGCTCAAGCAATGGAGACTGCAAGGATATATTTCCATACAATAAAACAGATGAAGATGAAGATTCTCCTCATCCCGAATTGTGTCCTCTGAATCCTGATCCTTGCACTGGCCAGCCATCCTTTCCAACCTGCAACGAGTCGGCACATTCCACTTGTGACTCAGGAGACTTGTCTAAACGGGGAATGTCCCCTCGCTCAGGAATAGATGATGCTGAGAGACCATGCATGGAGCTCAGAGATGAACAGAGGAGCACAGAGGAAATCGAGGTGGCCAAGCAGCTTACATTCTGGCCGGATTCTTGTCAGGCGTCTCCCTCTGGCCTGGGCTTGGTGGAGAAACCCTCAAATTGTCTGAAAAGCTGGTACCTGGATTCCAGAACTTTAGAGTGTCCATTTATGCAGAGCTTTGGCGCAGTGGGTGCTCAACTACACGATGGAGAGGGGGGATCCACGTCCCAGGGCAGTCCGTACTTACCCTCCAACCAATCAGGGGAGGACTCTGATAGTTTTGACACAGAGGGGGACAGTGAGTCTTACAGCAGTGAACGAGTGTGTGAGGTGAGGAGTGGTTGTATTTATTATGGCTATTTTTCACTGCATGGTACAGTACGGTTGGGTATGGCACGCATTGGCGCTTTGCCAACGCATGGTATGGTACGGCTCGGCTCGGTACGACTCACTTTGTGGCGCTTTTCCACTACATGGTACGGTTCTAAAAAGGTCTGAATTGTGAGACGAAAAGTCCCAATTACCCTTTTTTTAATCTGTGTCTGAAACAAGCTTCCATGCTAAGCAAAAACCTGGCACCTGTGGTAAGAGTTCTTCTATTTGTTAATGCATGTTGGACTTTGCCCTGTTCAGTGCCTTTCGAGCTGGCTGGAATGTACCTACTTTGCACACCTGATAATGACTAGTCAGACTTGCAGTGAAGTCAAAAGTCCACAAACGTCCTGAATGAGGCATTAATGAAAGCATTAACCCATTCTTTTACTCTTTGACCCAATCTTTTACTCTCTAAATATCGAGGAAATTTAACATTTTTAGTGTTTAAAATATATACAGACCTGGAATCTGACATTTGTTTAGTTGATCATGTTGACTACAGTTGTGAAGCATTTCTGTTCTTTCACTCCAGATGGCGCTGCCGCTCTCTGTGGATCAGATCGTGTCTCTGAGCAGGAACGACTTCCAGCAGATGCTGAAGCAGCAGTGCTTGACACGGGAACAGCTTGATGTTGTGCATGACATCCGCAGGCGGAGCAAAAACCGGATTGCAGCCCGTCGCTGCCGCAAGCGGAAACTTGACTGCATACACAACCTGGAGTGTGAAATCGAGAAACTGGTGTGTATCCGAAGTAATCACTAAAGGCTCAAAGGTCATAACTGTTCACTTGCACCTCAAATACCTCATAAGGATAAAAGTGAATTTCACAAAAATGTGATCACATTGCATCCCAAAATCAAAGAAGAAATATTTGAGATTTTATTGTTATTAAAGCTGCAGTACGTGGCTTTTTTCAGATTAAAAATGATCCAAAATACATATTTGAGAAAATACATAACCAGCCAGTGTTCAAAACTGTCTGCTTGCCTCAGCTCGATTCGAAGCGGTAAGCTTGTAATAATGTTTTTACTTCCAGTGGTACTGGTGGATTTCCGCGGGAGATTCAAGCATGTCTTTGCGTCATTACGTCAAGTGATGTCATCACTTCGGCACACACTGGCGGGGGTTAAAATTCGGCACAACACCTTGCGCAGTGATTGACAAATTGGTACGCAATCTGATCTGTGTTCTTCTGCACTGTGCCGTGTTGAGGCTGTTGAAGTACAATTCACGTTAAATTGATAATTCCGCGAATGTCTGCAATTCCAGATTTCGAACAGAGATGGCGCCAAAGAGGAAAAATTCTAAAAAAAGAATTAACAAGGTTTTATAAGATAAAATATACATTTTTTTTTAAATTGTGGGTTTCATTAGTTAAAAATACTAAATAAAATAAAATGATAATGTATAAATATTTTAAGTAGAATTGTATTTATTATTTATGGTAATTATAATTTATGGGTGGAATGTGCTGAAATAATTAAAATATATATATTTATTTGATAATTCCGCAAATGACTGCAATTCCAGATTTCAAACAGACATGGCGCCAAAGAGGAAAAACGCCGGACTGCAGCTTTAAAGAAAGGGTTTTAATTAAAAAAGAATTAACAAGGTTTTATAAGATAAGATATAAATTTTTTTTTTAAATTGTGGGTTTCATTAGTTAAAAATACTAAATAAAATAAAATGATAATGTATAAATATTTTAAGTAGAATTGTATTTATTATTTATGGTAATGATAATTTATGGGTGGAATGTGCTGAAATATAATTAAAATATATACATTTATTTTCTTTAAGAAAAATCTGATTTATTATTATTAGATGTATTATTATTTATTATGAACTTAATGATGTTATGAATATTTGTCAGTAATACATACATGAAACAGGTAAAATTAATACTAGTAATATTAGTACTAATACACTGAATGTTATAAATTGAACGGAATGGATAACCAGGCATAAATCCATTTTGTTTCAATTTCATACATTTTACCTACCTGAATATTGCTTGTGCCACAGCTTTATTTTAACTGAATAAATAATTGATTTCACAATATTTTTATGCTGATTCTAAGACATAAATGTTTTTTTTGAATATATGACTATTTAATTAAGATCAATGTTTCATGTATGTATGACTGACAAATATGCATCACAATATTAAAAAAAAATTGCGCAATCCAGTGAAATTGTATATGCAATTTAGATGGATAAATCTTGCATTATTTTTAATAGATATACCTTTTTGATTTTGTTCTCTGCAGAGGAGTGAGCGAGAGAAGCTGACCGTAGAAAGGATAAAGCTGAATCAGATGAAGTTGAAGACCTGGCAGAGTTACTCAGGCCTGTACGAGAGGGTCTGTGCTGAAGCCTCCCTCAAACCTGAGCAGCTACAGGTGCTGGCCAAATATTCCTCTCCGGACTGCCCTCTGTCTGCTTTCCTGTGCTCCTCCCCAGACTCACACACGGCCCAGGCTTCAGACCTTTCCACACACACCTGTTGCTCTGGAGCCAAACCATCAGTTCATTCCTCAATGGAAAACACCGTAGCACAATCAAGCTCACAGAACCTGTTACCTCTGGGGGTCGTAGAAGCTCAGTCACAAACCTGTCCACCCGACGCCTCGGCTGTTGACAAAAGTGAGTGTCGTTCAATGGTGAAACTCAGCACAGATCTTCTCAACAGCAAGCATAAAACAAACAAACAGCAAAATTAGTTGTTTGTTGAAGGAAGGACCACAGAAAATTACGGAAGGATTTTTTTTACATCTTATACTCACTCACTGAAGATGCATTTAACAAACGTGATATCACTACTGTCCTCGACTGATTGTAGGTCGTACGTCTTGTGTGTGTATGTGTGTGTGTGTATGTATATATATATACACACACACACACACACACTTTTTTTTACTCAAACCCTTTAAGCATTAACATTAAGTTTGTATTGGTCAGTGTTCAATGAAGTATTCCTTTAACTAACACATGTCCCTGAACATCCTCACATCCTTATAGAATCAATCAGCCAGGATCATTTTTGGACTCACAACACAATAAACCTCACCAATAAAAACTTTTCATCTTCTCAGGGGACATAATACTATTGGACTATTTTTGTACTGTCGTCTGTTTTTGCTGAAACTGTGCCATTCTTTTAAGTCTGGAAACTTTAGATAAGAGACTAGTGAATCTGGGATCAAACTCTCAGGTGTTCAGAACTGCACTTACTGTTATTTCACTAATACTGATTTTATGTAATTGAACTTTTTTTCCATCAGGTCCAAAATCCAATGGTCATTTGTAAGCAAAACACTTTTTTCTTATTAAATGTAATTCTATTTTGATTATTGTGCTCTAACATCTTGCTTGGGACCAAATTATTGTCTCTTAAGAAACTGAAAGCTTAATAAATTATGAAAATGTGTATATTTGAAAAAGACGTGGTTTCCTTCTGATTTGGTTATTTATTTGTTTTAATGCTTCACAGTGTCTAAAAGATGAGCTACTGTACATCAGGGTTTACAAAACTGGGGCTCGGGAGTTAAAGGGAGTTATATATATATATATATTATATAAGAAATTTAAACTACATTATTTTATTTCAGTAGTTTCAATATTTCTAATTTTGAAAAGTACTAAAATTACAAAAAAAAACACATAAGCTAAATATAAATATTTTAAACCCCTGAAACTAATAGAATGACAAAAGAACAGCACAAAATGTCAACTAAAATTAAAACTAATTCAAAATAATATATACTATAATTGCATATAAATACTAAAATAACACTCATTCAATCATTAAAATGTAAATAATTTTCTAAATAAAAACAAAACCCTGACTAAAATGTTTTAAAAATGTCCTCATCATGCAAATTTGCAATTAAATGATCAAAATATTAACTTTACAAATTTACAGATAGGCCTAATTCAAGTAGCCTAAATATTTTAGAGACAAAAGTTTGGGAATCCTCGAGTTTACATAACAGTTTCATTATTTGCAGAATTGCAGTTATACATTTGTACCAACAGATGGCAGAAGCCAACCAGACAAAGTTTCATATTTGCATCCTTTCATGCTTGATAAACTATCATAATTACAGCATCTGTAATATGTAAACACGCTCCAGTCTAAACAAGCACAGCTTGAAGATAAATTCGTGAAATCATTTCATATAACAATGTGTGTTCTCGCAGAACTAAGAATGAGCGTGGGAAAATGACAGGCTGTGAGGCATTTTTCATCATTTCAATCACTTTGATGGATATTCTTTCAGACTGTCAGCCACAGAGAACAGTATGTTGTTTTTGTGTGTGTCTGTTCCCTTGGGTTAATCTGCCATGATCATCACTTTCTGCACCCAGACAGCCATCGGACATAATTGATCTTCATATGACAAAGGAAAGGACCATCAGAAAACGGATTCTCTTTGGTATTTCCATATTCAAACACAGTATTCATTGTGAAATAGCATATTAATTGTCACGTTACAGTAAAAAAAAAAAAAAATCAAAACTCAGTATTTCACTATTCAAACACAACATTCATTGTGCTATAAACAGCTTATTAATTAATTAATTAATTAGTCAGAAAAGCAACATAATAGTTAAAACATCCAAAAAATCTGAGTGAAATAGGTAAGCTGCATGTGTGATTCTGTAAATGTACTTATTCACCATACAAACACATCCCTCTGATGGGCACATGAATTTAAATCTCTTTTTTAAAAGGCAAAATATGTAATAATTTTTCGCCACAAGAGGGCGCAGTTTCCATCAAAAACAAAGGCGTAGGTTTATGACGCAGTGATGAGCTGAATGATGGGACTTGCTGTCAAGCTGATGGATCTTATAATGTTTATGGATGAGTTCAAACATTCATGTTTTTTAACATTACAGCAGGTCGCGATCGCTAAAGAGACAGAATCACACGCGAGTCCCACGGATATAAAGGAATAATAAGGACATTTAATTCTACTGAACTAACTTACCCGGAAGTGCTCGATTACTCACATAGGTCAGTTTATTAGACAAATTTAACTTTTGAGGTAACGCAGCGCCGCTTCATATGGTCTAACGTTACACTATCACACTAAACGGCATTTAAATGTGTTAAAAGTTATTTTTTTGCTATACAAAACTCAACATTAGAATAACATACTGTCCATATTCGAACATGTCATCATGTTGAGCTAACGTTACATAATATTGATTTGTTTTATGTACATTTGCTCACCTGTCTAATAAAGCTGTCAAGTCGTGTCCATAGAATGGTCGTGACTCGTGAAGCTCTGTCAAGTCCAAGTTAGTCGCGGACGTGGAGCTCTCGGCATCTCAAAAACGCCACGCTGATATTGATCCTCATTTCAGTTCGTCTTGTTTGTCCCAAAGTCTGCTTGCCATGGTCTATGTTTGAAAGAAACAAGAACTACGTGCCACTAAACGTTACATACGCAGTTGTCAACGTCTGTCATCATGGTTATGTCATGGCTATGGCAGTATGAACGGAAACCGAGGATAGCGTAGATATTGCGTCATTGACAGGCTTTTGGGATATTGTCAGTACACAACTACAGGATTTTTTTTTTGTGTGGATATTTTATTACAAAATTCGTACATATCGTATCTTTAAGTACAGTTCATCCTCCAAAATAATGATACCATAAATAAAAAGAATTGCCGATTTTACTTTGTTTACACTGTGGAACACCAAAGAAGATGTTTAGCAGAACGTCCAGGCTGTTCTTTTCAATGAAATTGGACAGAGAATTGTACAGTCATTGTATGGGAAAATCTTCTTTAGTAATCTTCGGAAAAAAACGTTATACAGGTTTAGACAGATATGAGGGTGAGTAATTGTGATGGGTAAAATAAAATTTCATGCTGTGGTCTGTTTCAAAAAGACAACTGATGCTTTGCGCCAGGGTTGTGCTCATGAAGCTTATGATATGACATCAAAAAAAGAAGAGGTCTTCAGAGAAGGACACAGTTGCATCCTTCCTCACTGCAAGTCCCTTACTGTTCTGAGAGGAGATTCAGGTAAGATCATCGGTGACAGGAAGAATGGCACATGCACGTAATCTGTGACCTCATTCATTCAAGATTACAATATAGAAGGCTAAAAAAAAGAAAACGGCTTGGAGGTTTTGATTAAGAGTTTATGAGGTTAGCAGATTAGGGACAGGGAAAACAGTATTACGGCGGTCTAAACTGAATCCCAGAATTAATCAAAATACTAAAAAAAAAACCTAAAAAAAAAAAAAAACAAGCTGGCAGTAAACATCATCACATTCAGCAGCACAGTAATATTATGCCATCTGTGTGGATTTGAATAAAAGCCCTTAATCACTGATGTACTACACAGTGCAGAGATACGATGATATTCACTAGGTATGTGAGTCACAATAGTTTGCTGTGTTTTAAAATAAGAATCATTTCCATGGTTTTGGGCGTTAGGAACAGTTTTTTTTTTCTTTTTTTAATAGTCTATTGTTTTTGTATATGGATATCTTGATCTTCTGAAACACCTTGGTCAAGACTGAGGGAATAATTTACCAGGATGCTGAATATCTAAAAAGGTTAGATAACAGAACCCACTACAACCTCTGACTTTTGTCTCTTGACCTTGAGTGTCTTGATGAAATCTGTTTCTGCAAAATATCAACAAGCTAAATCAAAAAAGTAATTTTAAAAAAGTTCCACAATAAATGTCACAATGCATATAAAAACATTGAATGTAAAAATACTCATTAGTAGTTGAAGAAAGTAAAGTTCATTTTTTAACCCTCTGGGGTTGTTCGTTTCAGAGTCACACTCGGGGTGTTCGGGTCCAAATGGACCCAAAGGCTGGGATTCATATTAAAAAAAAAAAAAAAAAAATCATGATTTTTTTTTTACTCGTTTTTTATAATATTTTTTCTTTTCTTTTTTGGTGTTTTGAGAAAAAAACTATAATTAGTATTAATGCAATAATTATGACAAAATTTCCCCCCATTGAACATAATAGAAAAAAATATTAATTTTTTTTTTTTTAAACTGTATTTCATTTTAGAGTCAAGCCTAGGCCTCAAAAAAGCAATTTTTGAAATGAGATGGATGCCATCTGGTGGACCCCGTCGTGAGCATTTATACTTCTGCGTTCAGGTCTTGGTTGCTCTGCAGTACTGCTCCGAAACGCTAGTTGGCGACGGAGGGTTTTAATGTTCCACTGTGTTTAGATTCCTCGCGGCTAGGTTACTACAAGCAATGGCGACTGAAAGTGGATCATGTTGGAGTTGGAGCTTATTGAGGTAGTAAAACAGTTAATTTTAGTGAAATTACTAAAACTAAAAGGGAGAAACGAGAGAAGACGTCGGAGGAGATGGTCCGTGCGGAAATGCGTAGGAGGAAATGCGATGCTACCAAGCCGACCAATAACAGATCTTGCGGTCTGCCTCGTCGCGACGTGTAGTTACATTTTTGAGGAGGTGCGCGTCAGGCTACGGCGAAGGGTACGCGGTATAGCACACGTCTGTGCGTATGCTACGCCGTACCTACTGCGTGCACCCTACGCAGAAGTATAAACTGGCCTTAATATGGTGCCATTTCTTTTTTTCTATGGTCTATGGTCACTAAATCCCTGTGATGCATACAGACAGACAAAATAACACAATAACAACAAAATGCATTTGAAGCAGCACCATACAAAAATACAGCAACACTGTCTATACAGTGTGAATCTAGTGGCTTTGTATTAAGTGCCATAATACAAAGACCACTGCTGTCTAATCAGTGTATGCTTGCCTCTCACACAAAAGTGACTGTTATTTGGCATAAAAGGGCAGTTATTAGATCTAAAAGAGGGCTTGTCTTGGACTTTTCATGTCATCTCCCATGGCTTAATGTGCATTAGAGAAACCCTGCACCTGCAGCCCTCATTCAAAGGCTTTGTCACACATAAACAGCCAGATGTGTTTGTGGGTAACAGGGACAGTGTGTTATTATAAAGGCTTGAATGGACATCTCATGCTGAGATAAAACTACCCAATAGCATACTGCAAGCATGTCAGTAATGTCAAACAGCATGGTGCTTACATTTAACATCCGTACTTCAATGAAAATTGATGGTAAACTGATGAAAAGGTTTTTTAATTTTTGGTTTATGCAGTAGTAGTAGTAGTAGAAGCTGTTTTATGTTGGTGTAGGATACATTCATTCAAAAATCAAAATTGAGCTTACATTTAACTTTGTAAAACGTGTTGGAAAGGTTATTGGTGCTGCAGAGATTTTATTTTCCAAAACATTTGCAACTGCTTTTTATCACTTGATTAGAAGCATGTACACAATTAAATTTGGTTTGTTACATAGCGACTGAACAGACGTTTTGAAGTTTATTTTAAATCAACATGTGTAGATAGAGCTATTGCATTTTTACAACAGTATGTTAAGTGTCTGTGTC